GTATTGTAAACAACACGGTGATTCCCTGGGGGCACTGCTGGAAGTGAAGGGCGTGAGCGATTGCCGAGGCCCCTGCACTTCCGTTAGTCGAAAAACTCCGGGCTGTGCCTCCAGAGGTAAAGGAAGAATTAAAAAAGTTTTTTTTTTACCGATGGATTTCCAGATTGCTTGGGCAGTGTCGAGAAAAGCCATCCATTAACGTCAGCATGATACATGGCTGGTTGTTGTTATGGTGTGAAGGTGCTCGGTGGCGTCGGGGGAACCGTGGCGGGACAAGAACAAAAGAGAAGGTGGTGAAAGTCCAAGTAGGACAGGCAGGAGGGAGGGGCGGTGGATGGGTCCAACAAACACTGACTTTCACCCTGGGGAGTGGTGTTCAAGTCCCATAAGATTATAAACGGTGTCCCAGAACGTCAACAACCAACACACCCAGGGTATCTTGCACGTCGTGTGAGGACATGGAAAGTCTATGACCAAAATGTCAGTATGTGACGAGGTCGGAGTGAGAATGTGTCGAAGGAAGAGAAAGCACTAAAGATCTGCCTCAAGTCTTTTCTTTATTCTTCTATGACTCCTAAAGGATGAACATAATTATATATAAAAACAGACAAAATAGAAATTAATTTATTGAACAGCAGTGCTTGTTTTCCCAGAAACAGGCATGTTTGAGTAGAAAATAATGAGATCCCCTCCAGACATGTTTGAAGACGCTTGGAGTAATGTTTTGTCTCTAATATGGCTTTTCCACAAAAGATCAGTTATCTGCTTGGTTCAAATATCATCATCGTCTTCACTGTCCAAAATCCAGATAATTCAAATAATATTATTCATTTGTTTGACCGCTGGACACAAGATGTTTCATACTGCACCGTACTCGGCTCCAGACTACTTGTGATGATGTCATAAAGGTCAAGTGTCATCCTGAGATTCACGATGTGCTTAGAGAGACTTTGTGAAAACACATATTTTGTGTGGAGGAAGATTCTTTAACTGAAGCAGAATCAAATGGGCATCATGACAAAAAGAGGAAATAAACTTTCTTTTTCCACTCTGCCCCCCCCCCCCCCCAAGTGAAAGAGTCTTTAAGGACATAATGACACAGAAAAAGCAAAAGAAACTGAATAAGGTCAGTGGACAATGACGGCTAATTGCCCAGTGATCAGAAGTAAAATTACAAAAACAAATGACGAGTTAATACATTATAAAATACAGCTATACATAAACAAACTGTGGCAGATGTTTAACAGTTACTGAAAAGCAGCCATTTTTGTTTTAGAGTCCGACCTCCCAAGGAAACAAATGTCGACATAATGTCTGGATTTTTATGTTTTTGCTGCTGCAATTTTTCAGCTGGACTGTTGGAGTTCTGTCTATAGGCTATATGTGGATTTCTTTTACAGCCTGAGCCGGTCAACTCTCAGACAAAGAGGAGAGGCTTCAAAGGGAAATATTTATGAGTCTCAAAGGGTTAAAAGTCTGTCAGGCTAAGCAGGAAAAAATACAACTCACATACCAAACCAGTGAGATGGAGCCCTGTGGTGATTCTGTGATCCAGAAAACAGAAACTGGACCAGAGACACACACAGAGACTCTGGACGACTACGAAACTGAAATATACAAGATTCAACATCCGTCGCCACTTCAGTGTCATCACACTTTAGAAAACTAAACTGTTTTATACTTTATCTGATATTATATATATTCAGGCTTGTTTGAGATTGCAGGACTTTCTATTTGTGATTTAACATTATGTTATAATGTATTATAACTATATTACAGATTCTTCTCAGGCCGCTTGTTTGCAGCAAAAACAAGTTTTTGTGTCCACCTGATGAATGTAAGCCCAATATTCACTCTCTTATAGCTCTGCTTTGGTCTCCACCAACTCCTGAGGGAAATATCTGTCCCTTTAGCTGCTACATGCTCCACTGTGTTCACCAGCTAGTGTCATTTCATACAGTGTTAGTATACAAAAATACAGCTCTTATTATTTCAACACATTGATTCTCTTTTTTTTAATAACATATATGTATGTCTCATATATTTTCTTTTTAACTTGCTTTACTATCCCTGTCCTGCTGATTTTGGCGTCCTCACACACACACACACACACACACTGTAGGTAACAGTGTTCCTGCAGCAGACTGTGGAATGTGTTCATTTCCTCTTTGGTGTGAATGTTTACACTCTGGACATTTTTTTGAAACAGACTGAGAATAAAAGTCCTGGAGAGGAGGAATGTAGTGTGTGTGTGTGTGTGTGTGTGTGTGTGTGTGTGTGAGAGTGTGTGTTTCAAAGCACAAGAGCTTGACACTGATTTTTTTACATTCCTGGAACTTGCTCTATCTGGTTATTAACGCTTCAAAAACTCGGACACTCCTTAACTTTCTGGTTATTTCAGCAAATATTTTGTCCTTTAATTTATTATTTTTGAGATTCTGTTTTTCTATTTCTGTTATTCTGTAAAGCACTACTAAACCACATTAAAAAACAGCTCTATAAATAAACTTAATTTCAATTCAGGCATGGCAACTTTGCATTTTGGCGACTCAAAGTGTCTGAACTAATTTGTTTTTTGTTTGTTTTTATTGTTGTTGACTGAGTTTGAAGCAATAATAATAAAAAATAATTGATCATTAATATTATATGTATATAAAGTAAGGGGAATCATGAGAGACTGATTTAAAAAAGAGGAGTCAGTACTGAAACAACAGAAGCTTTGATATTCTGACTTTAAGTATGTTTATCATTTACATCAAATCCTACTGTGGCCTACATTTCCCAGGGTGCAACTGGACATCATATTTTCATTAGTTACTATTTGCTTGACAAAGCTCCTCCAGAGACACAGAAGACACCTGTGATTTACTCCTAGTGACAGGTAAACACATATTGAGGTGTAAAATCAACCCATCACAGTGAATGCATGTATGTGTGTATATAAACCTGCAGAGCTGAGGCTCCTGAGGGCCGCTGGGCAAGCCCAAATTAGATTTTTTAAAATGAAACCTGAGAACTAACCAGAGGAACAAATGAGCCCAGATTCCTCTAAAAAGTCGAACACAGGAACAAGTGGTCTTTACCTCCTGTAACCAAGAAGAGAGGAGTTCAGTGCCAGAGGACGTGAGCTGCAAAAATATCAATAAGATAATTCAAATGTTTCAATAAGCTGCAGAATTAAAGATATAAACAGGCTCAGTGATCAGTCTGTAGGAATTACTTGATAAGAAAAATGTCCAGAGTAAAATAATTCTCTCTCTCACTCTTTAAAAACAACAGACAGACATGAGAGCAGAACAATCTCAAAGTTTTGGGTTTCTTTTTTTAATCACTAATTTATGTTTTTTTTTAAAAAGTTCCAACTTTTTTCTCTTTCTGTTACAACTCTTTACAAAAGTATATATTTTTCAAAACTCCTCATATAACTTTTCTAAAATAACAACTTTTCAGATATAATTAATATATTAATAATATATGATTAATAATTTTCTTTTTTCTCATAATATGCTTTATTCTCGTAAAATTAAATTACTTGGAAAATTATTTCAGTCTCATATTTGCACTTTAGTCTCTTAATATTCTAACGTTTGTCATAAAAAACAGCAACTTGTCTTTGAATATTCTAACGTTAAACTCATATAATTACTTATCTAATAAAATGACTTCTCTTTTTAAATTCAGACGTTATTGTCTTAATATTTGGGTTGCTGCTGTAATAAATTCCCAAAATAAAAGCTCAAAGCTCAAAACTGCAGCTTCATATTTATCAGATCTTTGCCTCCCTCCAGTGTTCAGTGTGAGGAATCACAGGCAGCTTTTGTCCAACTGTATGATTATTAGTCATATTGAAGTATTTTATTCTTAATTTACAAGAATCTTATAGTTGATACCATCTGTCAGAATAACACCTCAAATTAAATGCTGATGCCTGCTTATGTTAAAATAAAAATCAATTTATATATGTATTAGGATTATTTTAAATCTTTCAAAGATCTGATTTTGTTTTTCAGGACATACGTGACAATATTTGGTCCACATTGAAAATAATCAATTAAATTTCCACTTAAAACGAACCATGTTCTGGGAAGTCTAGTATAACATTTCTTTAAAACTACAAACTTTATTGAAATTGCAACTTTCCATAATATCAACAGTTTTGTACAACTTTGTACAAGTTTTCTACAACGACTTTTCTTTGACAATAAAAACTTTCTTATGATTTTATGACGTCTCACAAAATTACAACCTTCTGCATGAAATGGCTTTATTCACAGACTCTCATCATAAACTTATGACTGTAAATGACTTTATTCTCATTACAACTTTCCAGAATTTTGATAAACCATTTTTCATATTTCATTTTATTTCTTTTCATTACAAATTTGATATTTTATAAATACATTTTTGCCTCAAACAGTTTAATCTCATTATGACTTTTCAAACTTCATTCTCTTAACATGACGTTTCTCATGAATTACTTTTCATTACTTTCCTCAAAATGATGGCTTTTTGCATAAAATTACTTTATTCTCAGAATATTACAGCATTCCTCAAAATTACAACTTCAGTCTTGTAATGCCACAACTTCCTTCAAAAATTAAGACTTTATAGTGTCATTATATATTATAATTTATTGTTGTGGCATTACCTATCTTTTAAAATGACCACTTCAATCTGATATTTTGACTTTATTCTTATATCACTTCTTTGAAAATCACGACTTAGTATCACTACCTTTAAGATTACGACTTTAATCTGACATATCTCAGACATTACTTTATTATCATTACTTTACAAATTAAAATGGCAATTTTTATTTTTTCCTAAATATTTAACATTTTGTTCAAAAATTGAGTTGTGTTTAAAAATTGTAACTTTATCTCTCAAAATAACGACGATTCTTCGATTTTTGTCATTTTTTTAACATAATTTGAATTTAATTCTCGAAATCTAAATCTGCCATGGGTACACGTCATGAAAAAAATTATGGTAAATTTTGTTCATCCCTTTTCAACTTCCTCTCAGAAAGAAACACAACAAAGCCCTCTGAGGTTTTATTAACAGATTACTTTTATTATAAATATACAGTGTTAAAATGGAATGGTACCTGACACTGCCAACCGGTTACCGCTTATAGAAACTAAGAAAAAAAAAAAAAAAATGGAACTGGAGTTTGTGCTGCAGATCTGCAATCATCAAATCACACAAATGCAAAAACACAGAGTGTCAATCAACAGGTCAAGTCAAACGCCTCGGCCGCCATTTCAGGCGCACACTTGCAGATAGACTGTGATCATACCAGAAAGCATCGGCTCTCTTCAAGTGATCAACACAGTTTGTAAAGAAAAGAACACGTGACCAACTTCTGCTTTTAAAATTGATCTTTTGTTTGAATGAGGGGGAAAAAACAAATGACTACAACATGAGGAGAGGAAATGGTGTCAAGTGATAAAAATGAGATCACAGGAAGATGTGACTGAAACATTCATTGGTACTGAACATCCAACAGTTTATGAAAAGGTGCTACATGCAGCTTTTTAACATCAACAAATTACAACCAGGACGTAGAGCAGTAGAGACTAGAGGCTGACAGATTCTATCGCATTCAACCTTGTGACATTTTTGAGCTGGGACGATTAGATAATTAATCAGTCAGTCAAGTGACAGAAAATGAATCAATTAAATGTGAAAAAAATTGCTGGTTGAAGCTTCTCAAATGTGGAAACATGCTGGATTTCTTTTACTACGCCTCATTTCACTGAATATCTTTGGGTTTGGCCTGCTGGTTGTGAGACATTTAGAGATGTCTCTTTGGACTGTGTGATGGACAGTTTCACTATTGTATCTTCTACTGTCCGCTTGTTTGCTGTAGAGACCAACAGCGCCCTCTACCGGTTTGGCAACACCTAACAGATGCTAAAACGTCACATGTAGCACCTTTAATTTGATCATTTATCTTCATGAATGTTGCTCACCGGATGAATCACATCACCGAGCGCTCAGATGGCCACTGGGTGTCACGCCTCGTAGGTCCAGTTTGCTCCGACAGACGCCGCGGAGCCGAGCGAGCGTCCTGCTGCCGCCTTTAACGAGGTAATCTCCCCTGGTGCTTTAAAACACAGGATCAATACAACATCACGTGACAACAGGAGCTGTTGTTCAAGTCAATGGCATGAAGGCTAATGAGCAAACTTAACTTTCATTTGCTTACAAGTATCAACCCCAATTTTCACTTATAGTATCAGGCACTTAATTTTTAAGTACTTTACATTAATGAGCAGTGCCGTTCAAGACCGATGCTGAAGTAGTGTGCAAAACACTGGATATAACAAATCTGTTTGAACATGCATAACAAAATGTAAACATTTAAATCTTTAACTTTATCGAAGGAAATAAAAAGAAATGATACCTAAAGAAACCTTTACAAACTAAAGCTTAAATAACCAACGAAGAAGAAAAACTATTCAGCTCTCCTTTAACTCTAACCTACAAGATCCCCACTTTGAATGACACACCAGGCGCTGGTGGCATGTTGTCGTGAACATACAAATTAACATGCAGAAAGAAAAAAAACTAACTAAGGCAACAAATGTTCAGGAGAGTCAGACTGAGATAAAACTGGTCCAGTGGAGCTGTGGTTTGACTGGGAGGCTCCCAGTGTGTGTGAGTGCTGAACTTGAAATGAACGTTTGTACAAAGTGTCGTCTGAAGGCAAAAGTGTTGAAGCCACATCTGACAGGGTGAAAAGTGCTGCTACAGAGAGGAGGTGGAGCAGCGTCGAATGGCTGAAAAGGAGCACACTTTCAAACTGTTTCTCACAAAGATATTGTGAACGCACTCGTTCATCACGCGTAAAGTTTAAGAAGTAATTATGTAGAGAATTTTTTTAAGAGAGATTGAAAGATGTATTTACTAGTTTTGTAAAGTTTTTGGAAAACTCGTCGAGGCAGCCCCACGGGTGTGTTTGGAAAGCACATAATCCGGACATCTGTAGAGCTTCTCAGAGAACACCTTGAACTGCAAGCAAGGTCATTTATTACTGTTTTATATTTGTAAAACTCCCCCAATCCTTATTTTTGTGACATCATCCCAATATAAAGTCTACGTACCAGAAGAGGTAAACACCAATTAGCATATGCAGTGGGTCCAACAATGATGAAGTTCACATAGAAGCTAGAAAATCTGGTATCATTAAAGGGATAGTTTGGATTTTTTGAGGTGGGATTCTATGAGGTACTCATCGTTGTCTGACAGCAAGGTAAAGAGGTGAAAATATTCTCAATATAGCATACACCTAAACTGATAATGATTTTTTTAAATGGCTAGAATATATTTTGTTGCTGACCCTCCACAGCAGTACATTGCTTAATTTCTTGGTAGTACTCCTGTCTGCTTCTCCAAACTGGGAGCGTGTTGACAAACATTTACTGTAGGTAATACCTCATACAACCCTCATTTAAAAGAGCTGAACTATCCCTTTGAATTCCTCCCCAAACAGTGATTGTCCAATCATAGCTTAGCAACTGTAACTATGAAGTGGGAGGCATGTACAGCTTTGGATTTTCCCACATGACAAGTTTGTAGAAGGAGCGATACACAGGTTTGAAAGTCTTTTCCCAGAACCAAAATCGCACGAGTAACCCTGTGAGGAATGGATTTAAGCGCACTTTTCAGCTCTCAACATAGGTTACATATGTTAGCATGTTTGGCTAACTAGCTTACATTTAAACTGTAACTAAAGCAGTAAGCTAACCCAGTGTTACCTCAAAGGCCCTTTTCATAAAGGCAACAGTTATTTAGGTAGTCGGCGAACAATTTCAATGTCTGACACATTGTTTCTGACAGCGCAACTGTCGAGGCGTTGTGTCCGACATATTCTAACATGCAAAAACTGACAATCCAACAGCCGAGCCCAATTTGTGCAGTGGCTGGGAAGGCTTGTGGAGGTGTGAACATAAGTAGATTTTGAACTAAGTGCAACACCGCAAACATCTGAAAGTGTACACCATCATTCCACGAGGACCACAAAACACACAAAAAGAAAACAAATATACTGTTATTGTTGTTCGCTGGTGGTGCATTACTTAATGCCATCTTCCAGCCATCGAGCGACTTTTCACCCTGCCACCCAGTGTGGCCGCTCAGAGTAGCAACAAACACTTTTGTCTTCAGCTGCACCCGTACAAACTCTTTCCTTTGAAGCATACTGAAGCCTATGTCGCTCCAGCATGCTCAGAAACACCTCCCCTTAATAAATAAGGGTTGACAGACAGAATGAAGCAGAGCAAGACACAAACTATACATTAATCCCGTAGTAAGATTATCAGACTTGTGAGATATATCAAATCTTACTGCATTGATTGTTTTCAAGAAATAATCACACAAAAGGAAGAAGTCTTTTACCATCTTCCTCGTTACTTCTCATTTCTCACCTCACGTGAAGGAGAAAACAGACATTATTGTGAAAAGTGACATTTCTTAAAGCAAACAAAATAACGACATATAATATCCTGAAATACTAATGATAACTCTGACCTCGACATGACGAGAAACGTTATAGAAATGTTATGGAGGTCTGGGGATTTCTGGTGGAGTTAAATGTGCTTTGGTGCATCTGCCCAGCTATGATCTACTGAGTATACATTTCTCTACTCATGCACTCATTCACAAACAGTCCATATCTGTCTCACACAAAGCCAAACAGTCAAAAATAAATCAGAAAAAACTGCAAATACTTCCAATAACAAGTCATGTTATCTTTTAACTCAGTTCTTTAAAATATTTTCTTATAACTGTCGGACAAATAAATCTACTGTGAGAAATTTTAAACTTGAAGTCAAGATCTAACGACTTGCTGAGATGAAAATAATTTGCAGCTTTATCAATAGAAAACAAAACAACAACAATATGGCTACATAACTAAGAATAAACAGCACCAGTTAATTTCGGTGTCGTAGTTAATTCCACTGCTCTGGTAGAATAACAAACGTTGGCAGAAAGAAAATAAACATGGCAAATATAAATATGGAAAAACAAATGAAGCACGTGGGTACAGTAGGTGTGCAAATCAGAAACAAACAGGGACGAGTCCAAGAAGAAAAGGCTGTGATTAAAGGGATACCTTGACATTTCAATTTTTTTTTTAGCTACACAAGGTTTTTGTCCCAATATTGAGTCGGTGTTTTGTGTTGGCACTTTAGATGAAGAAGAGGAAGAAGCTGGGTGGAGTAGAGGACTGGTATAAAGTGGGAAACGGCAACACATTCTTTGGTGACACAGAGTGAATGCTGCAGGTTTGATTTTCTCATTTTCAACTGGCATTAACATCTGGCCTATAACAGCTGGACATCTTCAGGAGAGATTCCTGTAATAACGGTCAGAATATAATACGATTTGAGCCAGGTGTAAATGACTTCTGTACAGTTTGACCACATTCTTAGAACAATGGTTTGAAATTTTGTGAAACACGTTTATTCATTTTCATACTGAAAATTAGATGAGATTGGAGTCACTCTCACGTTGGTACGGTAAACATGAAATTAGCCTAGCGAGATGCAAAGACTAGAAACAGGCTGAGACAGCTGTTCTGGCTCTCTCTAAAGGGAACACTAGAGACCACCTTGTGATGCAATCCGCAACTTAAAACAAATGTGGACCGGGGGGGGAAATGTACTTCCTATGCCAAAAGTTCAGCGATTAACATTTACAATCTTGTTTGTTAAATTCTTACAAAAACTGAAGTGTAAAAAACAGCAAATTAAGGTTTTGAAGGGTGTCATGTGTCGGACTATTTCTTGGCTGGAACTCCAGGAAGTCACTGCACCGAGCCAACAAGTAGTCTGGTACAAAACCCCTGAAAACCCACAACCTATTCTCTTTTTTACACTTCTGTTTTTTACAAATGAAATTAACAAGTTGTTAAGTGTTACAAACTGATGAGCTGCAGAGGTGTTGGTAGGTAGGTGTTGTTATTTTTGGATGGACGCCATGCTACTTGTTCTCTTAGTCTGTTTACAGTGTCTGTACTAAGCTAACTGGCCGCTAGCTATAGCTTTATATTTACCGTACAGACATGAGAGTGGATTCAATCTGAACATGTAGCTCAGCCAGGAAGCGATTATGCGCAGTTCTAAAAATTTCAAACTATTAACGCAAGAAAAATAAATCGGTCAACTATCTCCACCTTTTCTTGCTAATGCTACGTATAAATCCGTCATCTGCCTTCCTACTCTGCAACTAACTTCAGATCTGATCACAGTTAAGTCTGAATGGAGAGAATGAGAGTGCGTATTTACACCAGGGGTTCAAGCACATGTAGCATTAAAAGAACTAGTAACCGTATCCACATACTAATCGCAGGTTAAAGAATAAGTCTGGCGACATTCTTTAATTTTCAACAAATTCCATACTAAAACCCAAATCAGTCATGAGATTTGATGACAATCAGAAACATGGAGAATAAACACTATTTTTTTCTCATAATACCAAGTGGAAATCTGTCTGTGTTTATGGACCAGCATCCAACCCTGCCGTCTCCCCAAATGCATGATGGGATGAGCTCTTATCCCCTGGAGAAATAAAAAAAAGCCTGAGGTAGTCTGAATGTTTGGGCAACATGTTCATGTTTGATCTCTAAACGTCCTCCTGTGCTGAGTCCCTATTGGTTGAATAACCTGAACAGTGGTGGTGATGAAGGCGAAGCGATGGCGCCATCGTGTGGCCACAGTGGTCTTTACATGCAAACAGCAGGCCTGGGTATCGGACCTCAACACTGCACTAGTACTGTATGAAGTATGTCAGCAGCATAGAGCAGCACTCAGAATTGATTAAAGCCTAAATTTTTACCAGTTTTAGGCCGTTTACTTCAGACGAGTTCTTTTACAGCTGCTGATATTAAGACATTTAAAACGTAAGAACTTTGGCTGCTTTTGTTAAAAGATTTTTTTTTATATATTTCAGAATCAGAGATGCAGGTATTGTATCCACACTAGTATTTCAAAAATACCTGGCACTACTGAGGAGAGAAGGAAAACTTAACAGGTCCAACATCAAGGTATCTCTTTAACTGAATGTTTTTGAAGCCGGCGATGAAACAGATCGCAGGACATTTAAGGCACATATGTGTAAGAACAGTTTATATAATTTCAGCTAACGAGCAAGACTATAGAAAGGCTTCACTTAACGAGCTATAATGTGAAGACTGAGGAGCTCCAGATAACATCTAGACACTTTATCAGAAAATAACTATTTCTCTACAGAAGTAGAGTACAATTTAAAAATGAAACTACCAAACTACAGTACACTCTAGATGCTAATTTATGAAGTCTTGATGCATAGCATCACCCATAGATAGAATTGATTTTTATTTTAAGTAATATGGATCTTATTCAATATTTCACCTTAACATTGAATAGTGGAGTTAATAGTGTTATGGAGGGTTATGGCAGTGTTTGTAAAAGAGTCATAGTCTCATTCCTCTGTTTCTTTTTTTTAACCATTAAGAGACAGAAATCAACAGAGAAACGAAGAGAAACTGATGTGTGATTGTCATGAGTCTCAGTGTCGTCACTCCTCTGCAAAGTTCAATCGAAGAGAAGATCGAAAACCAGGGAAAAAAAAAAAAAAAAAAAGGAAATAACAACAAGGAGACAAAAATGGGAAATAAGGAGAAGTTATGAGTTCAAATGTTCTCAAATATGAAGCAAAGAATCACCCCTGCTCCACATGTTCAGGCTTCAACCTGAGCCTGATCGACCACTGAAGCATCCAGTGTCCAAACCCAACACCAAGCACCATGGTGGATACAACTTTCCACATTCCAAAACCGCCAATCCCGAATTATCCGACAGTTTTCTGATCACAAAATGATAATATCAACAGAGGGAATAATGCTAAAAACAGTGTGTGTCAGTGTCTGAGGGCCCGGCTATCTTCAGCTCCACTGGGCCAGAACCAGAGAGGTGGGCGGGATCTTTCTCCTCCTGCTCTGGCTTCTGTAATTTGTTGCTTATCTCAGTGTCACATCGCTCTATTTCAACCACCTCCTCCTCCTTCTTTACTTCTTTCTTTACTGCCACTCGTCCCTCTCCTGTCTCTGTCTCGGTCCTCTGGGTTTCAGCCATAGATCCTGGAGGAAGAAATTTCCCAAACCTCGTCCCGTTCAGATCCTCCTCAAATTTCACCTGGAAGGGTGGCAGCCCAAGCAGGAAGGCCCTAATCCTGCTGGGGGAGCTCAGGTCCGCTGGTTCCTCCTGGTTCTTCATCTCCACATCCTGCTCTCCTCCTCCTGCACTTCCTACAGAGCTGGACCGGCCGCCCAGGCTGAAGTCCTCAGCCTGCTCTGTGCAGCCGGGTCTCTGTCTCTTGGATGGCGGCTGATCTGTGCTCCCGTTGATCGTTGCCAGACTCGGTTCTGGTCCCTCGGTGCTGGGTCTCTTTGCCGTGAAGCGTTTGCTGAGGTTGAGCGGCAGTGCCTGCTCTGGGGGAGGGGTGATAGGAGAGCAGGGGGGCTTGGTGTTGAGGTCCTGGGACAGAGCCTCAGACAGTCGGCGGGTGAAGGTCTGGAACTGAGACGAGCCTAGACGAGTCCTCATCAGCTGGCACACCTGAACGCTGCAGTCCAGGTTCAAAGGCAGGACCCGGAGAGGGGGCAGAGGAGGCCGGTTCCTAACGTCCCGACTGCCTCCTCTCTGGGCTGCCTCGTCCACAGTACAGCCGGAGCAGCGGTTGTGCTGCTGGTGGAGCATGTGGGGCTGAGGCTGAAGCTGGTCCCCGCTGGGATGAGACGCATCCGGGGTTCCAACTTTGGGCTGAAGGGTGTAGATGGTTGGATGGTGTTGGGTTGGGTCCTGAGGCGTCAGGGCTGGGCTCTCCGGGCCTCTCTGGAGGCTTATGCGGTTCCTGAAGACATCCAGAGGACAGACACCTTTGATGGGGCTAAAACCGCCCAGAGATCCTCCGACAAAGTGGCGAGGCAGAGTGGAGAGGAGCACACCTGGAGCAGGAGCCACAGTCTCCGCTCTGTCCGGCCTCAGCTCCTTTGGTTTGGGCTGGAAGGGGAGGAAGGGGGCGGTCATGGGGGAGAGGTCTGGGGTGAGGGGCATGTTGACAGGAAGGACAGCTGGCTGGACGGGCTGCAGGATAGAAAGAGAGAGGAAGAAAATGGCGGTCATGGATAGCACTTATTAATATTTATTTATTTATCTTTCTTTCTTTTTTTCTTTTAAAAAGCTTCAAAATACATCTCAGATCTTTTTCTTTAAAGCAGAAGGTTATTAACAGGTTAAACAGGATGGAGGGGAGGATGAAGCACAGATGAAGTATCACTTTAATTACTATAAAATGTGTCTGTTTTTTCTACAGTACAGTGGAGTTTGAGAGGTTACCCTGTGTGTGCTGCTGGGGGTGAGACCGCCTCCAACTCTGACAGGAAGCAGAGGACTCTGCTGCTGAGACTCGACCGCTGCTTTGGCTTTCGCCTGCTGCTGAGCCAGCAGCTTCGCCTGAGCGATCAGCGTGGCCTTGTTGCGAGTGCCCGGCGGCCGGCCTCGGCCTCTCTTCACCACCACGGTGCCGTTAGGGTTCACGATCTGCTCAGAGAGACAGAGATAAGCGGTCATACATGGTGTCTATAAGCCTATGCTGGATTTATTCACGTCTTTTGGAAGGTGGATGGTTTATTTGTGTATTTATTCTTTTGCTGCTGTTGCACTTTCTTGTATTTATTGTATTCTTTACGTTACTTATTGCTTTGTACATTTTAATGTGAAGCATGTTCACTTTACCAGCAATAAAATGTGCTACATCAATAAAATTCCCTGGTCTTGCTTCTATATCTGTGGCAAAATTCACAAAGTTGTGCAGACCACCACCTCTAATTTTACTGGATTTTTTTGACTTGTGGACGAGCCAATCAGATTTTTATCAAACTCGGCACCAAAATATGTTTTTAAAAAGACCTTATTACATCATTATTCCAAAACCTTACAGAGTCAATAAACTTAGGAGGCACCTCTAGGCTTAGTTGAACTGTTTACCAGAAGAATATCTGCAGGTTTCATCAGGGTTATTTTAGTATCTGGAGCATTTCTTAAAGGTATATAGAGATATTTCAAGAAATATCACAGTTTCCTGAATCACCCCGAGTCATAATGTCAAAAGTATAATGTCATGATGTTTATTTAATACCAGAAATGAAGGGCGAAAGCTGGCAGGACTATGATGATTTATGTATGAAAACTTAAAATAAAAAAGGTTAAAAATTGGCACATTGGCAGCAAAAGAAAAGAAACAACAGGAGGTAAATCAAGTGTGAATGTGCAGCACAGAGTAGCATGTCACCTCATGATAAAAAATAAGATTAATTACTGTTTACAGTTGTTCTGTCACTTACAGTACGAGAAGGAGCAGCGGGGGTTGTCATCTTCTTGTCCTTGGCTTTGAGTCCCGGTTTTCTGCCTCTCTGAAGTGGTTTCCTTCCTCTTATCCCTCTGGGTTTCGGTGGCATGGGGGATTCTGGGACTTTAAATTCTGCTCCGCCTGCTCTGAGGTGCTCTTCATAGGGAAGCATCAGTCTGAGAAACACACACACACACACATGCACACAGTTACAGGATGCTAAGTGTGTGCACTCTTACATAAGAACCTTTTTTTTTTTAAGCCTGAGTGATTTATTTCTATTTCAGGATGTTTTGGAAGGGGGGAGTCAGATTTTCAGTCTGACCTCTCGTAGTGTCTCCTGGTGCAGGTAGCAGCACTGGTGCTGCCGGGGCATCCTCCCAGCTCATTATAAACCACTTTCCAGAGACGGTCCAATGTCACCTGTGACACAAACAAACGTGAAGGTGATCAGCTTTGAACTCCTGAAATCCTGCAGAAAAAAAATGGTGTGTGTGCAGCCTGGGTAGGACTGTCATGTTTTATTTGAAAAATGTGCTATCATTCAAACATAAGGGTTACGGTTAGAGGTTAATCATCAGCTAAACTGAAAATTTGCAGTGTTGAAGTGTGAGTATGGCTTGTACTCCAGTGTTCTGCATACGGATTTTAACACTTCTATCATCTCAAGTTCTCCAGTTCATTTCTTAATTCAGCTACAATCATAATACAACATAACATACAAGTTTTAGCAGGTTTTTGTTTGTTTACTGAAAAAAAAAAAAACCCATAGAAGTACTGTATAAACACAATTATCACAGTATAAAGTAAAACACTCTGACTTCATGAGGTCGAAACAACTTTCTGTGGCTGACAGGTGGAAGGACAATAAAGCAGAAACCAGCACATCCTGTTAGTGTACTCTGCACTTCTGTGGTCTGAAAGATGCACAGTGCCTAATACTCAAAAAAAAAAAAGTTAAGTTTGTTATCAGGGTTCCTGCACCTTTTTAAATATCCGATTCAAGGACATTCCAGGCCCTCAAATTCAAGGACCCAACACAGCATAGTTTAAGACATGGATCTAGGTTAATTACTATTATAGCTCTGAGAACTGAAGCTGACAACAATTAAAAAGAGACAGAAGCTGGACTGTGCTGCGTTACAGTGAGGTTACGATATCAAAAGGACTTTAATTTTGATTCTTGCACAAAACATATACATCCAAGCACTTTCAATGACCCATGTCTATTTATGTCTGTTTTCAAAAACCAGAGAGGCCTTTAATTTTTTCCCTCAAATTCACACACTTACAAAAATTTCAAAGACCCGTGGGCGCCCTGAGGTCCAGACACTGATGTACGGCAGAACTGATTGTCACACAATAAAAAACACTATCAATAAGTACAAAGACATTAAAGTGCAAGTAATATTAATAAGTAGAGTGCAATAAAATAAAGTGCCCTAACTCGTGTTAAGTTGTGCATTTGTTCATTAAAAAAGGTAAAAACCTCTAATAAGTAAAACGCCACATAAAACAAATGTGAATAAAACATGCCACAGTAACAACACTGCAGCCGAGCAGCATCACCTCCTCTGCTGCTTGTTCCACTGCAGTGGCTGCAGTCATACAAACAAGTTTATACAAATACACAAACTAGCTAGACGTTGGAGAGCATCGCAATTTTATGTGTCAAAGTTCAATCTGATTAGAATCCTGTGCCAAGTGAATGAGGCGGGGTTGATTCACTACCAGCAGACACATTCGTCTCCCTCTGTTCTCCACTGAAATGAATGAGGAGTTAGATCAAGTGTGACCACAGCTGGAATGTATTTTAGGATTTATGCTGCATGGGTTGAATTTAAATTAATCTGAATGAAATATGTGTTGGTTGGAATTTGAACTTGTTTTTTTTCTATGAGTGTGTGTGACACATAATACAGTGTGTCATTAGGGGTGTAACACCGTGCTGTATAATACAGTATTGTTCAGTGCAAGGCTCAGTTCAGCACAGAGGGTGAAATGAACAGCTGAACAGGCCTTTTGTTGTGAATCAGTGCAGCACTGAACTGAATCTGTACCGCCTGTTTCTGTCCCGTCTGCCTGTTTACATTTATTGTAAAGCTGCTCTTGCTGTGTGTTTATTTACTGTAAATGGCTCAGAAATGACCGATTCTTTCAGGCACAACTCCACCGTTTCATTCTCAACAGACAAATGTCATTTCATACAGTTACAGTTGCAGTTCATTAAAAGGTAGCACTGATTTGTCTGTATTGAAAATAGTCATGACTTTGTTGTGTTCATCTTGTGACTTCTTCAGAGAAATCTGGAGTGCTACCAGTGCAGTTTTAAAGTCTTAGTTCAACATTTTCAGAAATATGCATATTTGTTTCTGGCGAACAGTTGGATGTAAGTGGAGGAAATGTAAAGGCCCAGACACACCAAACTGACATTAAAAGACTTAAGGCCCATTTATGCTCAACGTTAAATGCGGATCCAGATACGGACGGAGCCTTCTGTCCGTGCTCTGCTTTCATTTCGTCCGTATTTCTGCACATTTCCATAAAGCTTACGGATACGGGCCAAACGGAGCAGTACCACTGGAAACCGCCGGGGCAGTGTTGCTGTCACTACCCGATACGTAGCTCTAGTGAGACACGAAGAAGAAATAACAATTCAATTTCTCTCATCGGCAGTACTAGAGAAAAGAATTCTCCGTCCTCCAGTCGCGATGTATTTAACGGCCTCACCAACCACCGCCTCCTACAACGCTGCCTCTGTTTTTGTCTTTTATGCAAGAGCTACATTATCAATATCTCCACAGTCGCCATGTTTGTTTTTTGAGTTTGTTGTTGTCATAAACTTTTGATGCTGGGCTGCTCCCTGGTGGATATATTGGTTAACATCCATGCCAACGTAAAGGCCGCATGGAAGTATGTGGGCAGTGACGGTAACATCGTTTGAAACGGACGTATACATTTTCGTACGTAAAGGGAGCATAAATGGGCCTTTAGTGGTGACGAGGGTTGGCTGTTGCATCATCTCACGTCACCTGTGTTTCAGTCAAAAAGCCGCTCTTGAACACACCGCAAAGACTACAGCTGACGGTGAACTAGTATGTGCATTCTGTGCCTGCGCCACAGAATGCACTCTCCATACCAACCGTAAAAATGACGGTGTGGATTCAAGATGCTAGTTAGCACATTAACAACAAATCCCAATGTTGAAAGGAAAGGATATTTACTGTGCTCTGGCAAACAATTACACGAACAACTGCAAAACATTTCTGCTTAAGAGCTCAATACCTTAAGAAACAAGCTTACCTAATATAAAATCTTTGTTTTGATCCCACCCCCTCTTGACTTGAGCTGTTTCTTTACTTCCCTCAGTTTTGTTTCTCTTCTCATGCGGTGAGCTGAACTGCCCATCAAAAATTCTCTCACCGACGGGTACGTACGCTTACGTAAAGTATAAAAAAATGGCTGACTTTTTGCCTGCTTCTATGCTTTATGCTTAGTTAGAACAGTTGCTGGTGGTAGCTTAATATTTGGTATAAACGTTTAAGAGTGGTTTCCTGGTAGAGCATGCACCTCATGTACGAAAGCTGTGTCCTTGCCGTAGCGACTGTGGGTTTGATTCCAACCCATGGTCCTTTGCTGCACGTCCTCCACCCCTCTCTCCCCCTTTCATGCTAAAGCTGTCCTATCAAATAAAGGCAAAAGCCCCAAAAATACCTTAAAAAGCGGCTTCAATTGTCTCATGCGACTCTCCACAAGACAACCCCGACATGACAATCTGTTCCTCTACATAGAAGGTTAAATGTGCTGAGTGAAGTGAAGTAACCTGAAGTAACTCACCTTCTTGTAGCCTCCAAGCCGCTTAACCACAGAGTACATGAGGAAGAGATCAACTGAGGAAAGAGAGGGTGGACATGTTCAAACTCAGCAGCATAGCAAGTGGAAACAGACGAGAAATGCAAATGTGAAACAGAGCAGATAAAAGCTGAAATAAAAACGCTCAATTTGACTGAGCAAATATGCTCTGATGAAACACGTTGAGTACTTTGAATGTGCAGGATTTTATTCTCTCCTGGTTATAAAGATACAGATGAAACGGACCCTCCTCCTGTGCTTTTTAATGTTTTCATTTGACTGCCGCTTTAATTATGATGAACCTTATCACATATTCACATGCCACAGAAGCTTCTGGCAGCCCCACAATTAATATCTTTTAGTTTCTCATAACTTTATTTAAAATACTATTAAGATCCAATGTTTCCTTAAATATAAAGTTAAATTACCTCTTCACTCAGATATAATACTTCAGAAAAACATTACATTTCTAATTGAACACTTTATGGTATTATTAAGCATAAAAGATGTTCACATTGTTATATTTAAAGTAAACATTTTTAATTGATGGTGAAGCCATAAAAATAAGCATGCTGAACTTAAAATTTGACTAAATACATCTGAAAAGCAGCTAAGTGATAAGAATATAAATGTAATGCTGTGAAAAGGAGAGCTGAGAATATTGAGGTTCAAATGACGACAAATAATAGGCGACCATTTTATCATTCATGACCTCAGAGTGGAACTGAAACGTGACTATATGATCAGATTGTATTGCAAAATGTTGTTATCTAAATTAAAGATTTTAATAAAGTAAAGAAAATAAAAGAATGTGGTCAGCTGTTTCTTGTTTCTGCTGCCTCCAAATGGACAAAAAAAAAACTGTTATTGCAGGTTAGTTAAACTTTCTGTACTCTGTGAACTCTGACAGAGCATTCAATAGCAGAAGTAAAACATATAGCCTGAACACAGACACAAGTGTGATCATGAAACCAGTCGAGCAGGAGTTCTGAGCTGCAGCCATCTGTGTCCTGAGACAAAGCTGTTTTTAACAGCTGTTGTTTCCAGGGTATGGTCTTTATATTGTGCTTAATGGCAGTTTGTGTCAGGTTTCACCATTTTATTTTGCTCGTTTGTTACCTTGTGATATTAAGTGATTGGGTTTTAGGCTGTTGGTCTGCAACTGACAGCAGCTGATTGTTACACTGATTCTCATGAACACCATTTTTAATCTCAATCTCACAGCACAATTCTGGTTAAATAAGGTAAAAAGAAATGTCTTCTGACAGATCTAGCCAGAGGCATCATGGGAATTAAATCTGTGAACTTTCATTTCTCAAATGTCAAGAGCACACTGATTCACCTTTAAAGAACATAAGACAGAAGGACAGACAGACAGACAGATAGACAGAAAGAAAGAAAGAAGAAATAGAAAAGAAAGAAATACATAAAGGTCAGAAGGAGAGAAAGAAAAAAAAGAGAAGGGTAGAGGCTCACTTTTCTTGAAGCCCAGGTTGGGGACTTTGTGGATGGGTGAGCCGAGGCGTTCCATGTAGGCAAAGAGCTGATCCAGGAACAGCTGCTCTTCAGGGTGGGGGAGCCAGCTGCCCTCACAGCCCACCTCCACGCTGCCCATCACGTTCTCCTGAGAGGGAGACATCAAGCGTTACGACAGAGACACCAAGGCAGGGAAAGGTTTAAAATCACTGTAGTCGCGTTGTTAAGTTAAAATCCTGTGAAATGTCTTAGTCTGTCAGTAAGGAGGTACTGACCACCGTTCCTTTGTTAATACAGTAATTATAGATTTCCTTTGCCATCTTACATACTTACAAAACAGTCTAAAGTCATGCCTGTGGTTGTGACACAGATAAAGATATAAGATAAATGCTAACATCAACATGCTAACATGCTGATGTTTAACTGATGTTTTACTGTGTTTAGTTTCCTGTGTTAGCATGCTAACATTTGCCACTTATCACTAGAGTGCAGCAGAGGCTGACTTTATTGTGTATTTAAATGTTGTTCTGATGCATTTCTTTGCCTCTGTCTAAAAGGTGCTCTACAAATAAACGTTTAGTGGTACTCAACATGTTTTTGTTGCAATTACAAGAGTTAACACCAGTGACTCAAAGACATGTTATTAGCAGTTTTACAGTTGTTGTTGTTGTTGTTATATCTGGGAGGTTTGGTGTTCAACTGAGGCTGTCAGTTTAAAAGGTTAACCACGCTGGGCCTCCAGGAAAAACAATTCTACTCCCCACTTTGAACAGAGCAGCTTCAAATAACCTGGTAGCAGGTGCATTTAATCTCAGCATTATATAAACTGTTTCACACACACTTACATAAACACAGAAGATACAGCAGTCAAATTTACATAGACACCTGGAGCAGGTTACACCAACGATATAGAGCTCCATATATCATGTGAAAGGAGAGAAAAGTAAACAAACTTGGCTGTGGCTTACAACTCATGGACGGACGTGTGTTGTTAGCAGTGGCATGGAACGCCAAGTTACAAGTGAGCTTAAGAACAGGCATAAGCCCTGTTGGTAAAAACAACCCGTGATTCAGTGAACAAACCTTCATCTTCTCAATCCAGGACTCTGATTGGCTGGAGTTAGGGGAGTCTTTGCCGTCTCGGCCTCTCCTCTTGCGAGGTCGCCCTCGAAGACTGAGAGACGGACATCCTACAGAAAAACAAAAAACAATAACATGTATAAAGAAAAAGGAGAGGTAACAAGCTCCATTTCAGAGAGCTACAAATGTCTAATAAGTCAGTTGGTTTGAGTAGTATGGAGACTAGAAAGGTGCTATACGAGTGCAGGTCCATTTTCCAGCAGAGGCTGCAGCTACACACTCCTTATGTTGAAATGTAAGATGATGAAATGTGTAAAGATACGAATTCTGTCCCAAGACTCTTACTCACTACTAACACGATGTTAAAAAGGTAACATGATGGAGTCAGCATGAATACAGTAAACATCTATATACAGTATGAAACATGTTATGTGTGTCATATTATCTGAACTGTCAAATACGAGGATTTAGGTGCATAGAAACGATGAAAAACAAAATATAGAAACGACACAAACACAGATTATAAATACATTAACTTGTCAAATAACTCTTGTTTATGTTCATTTTAAGGTCGACTGCCGTTCTCCATTTTGGCAAAAACAGGAACAGTTCTATTTATGAGGTCCTAACTACACAATGAAATATAATTATTACTACAAGTTATATGTGACCTAGAAGTCAGAAACTTTTTAGACTTCTGAAACATATGTCTTCATGCCTTTTCATCTGCAAATAACTACAGAAGCGTATTGAATTCACTTGACAAATAAAAAAAAAATCTGTTTTATTGAGTATTTTTTTCTGCTTTTCGTGGTAATTTTTTCCCTGTTTTTCGTGGTAAATTTTTTTTCTGTTTTTCGTGGTAATTTTTTTTCTGCTTTTCGTGGTAATTTTTTTTCCTGTTTTTCGTGGTAATTTTTTTCCTGTTTTCGTGGTAATTTTTTTTCCTGTATTCTGGGGTAATTCTTTTCTGTTTTTCGTGGTAATTTTTTTCCTGTTTTCATGGTAATTTTTTTCTGCTTTTCGTGGTAATTTTTTTCCTGTTTTCAGGGTAATTTTTTTCTGTTTTTCGGGGTAATTTTTTCTGTTTTTCAGAGTATTTTTTTTCTGACTTAAGAGAGCAATAGAGTCATATAGTTGGTAAGGTGCCTGCGTAAAGTCGACAAACTAATGATAACACCATCTATATGACTTAAAGACAAGAGTATCTCCCAGTGTCTCAGACCCAAAACAAAGTAAAACTGGATTAAACTAAACAAGCGGGTCATGTTTGCTTCTATTATATCGAGCTCTCAAGAAAGGAATGAAAGCGTCTGTTGTTCTATTGCTCTCTTAACTCAGAAAAAAATACTCAATAAAACAGATTTTTTTTTATTTGTCAATTGAATGCAATACGCTTCTGTAAATAACAACTCAGTGCTTACTAAACTTGTTAGCATTTGGATTGTTTATTTAATAAATATTACTCTCTAAAGTTGTGTTAAAACAAATAACCACAAATTAATTGTCAGACACAGCACTTAGAGACAGGTTAACCTGGTACTGGATGGTGGCAAATACCAAAGCTGACTTCCGTTTGTCACCTGTGCATCTACTATCTTACTAATCGCCATAAAAAGGGGGTTATTTATTATCATAATGGAGTACCTGCCTCTATAATCCAGTGTGAGTCATGCTTTGGTCTCCCCCTACCCACTGAAAACACTGAAACACTCACTGAACTGCCAGGAGAAACTGGCGCTGCTCTCCAGCGTCGGGTGGTTGAAGGTGTCTCTGCAGTACATCAGCCGGGTGTTGGGCAGCACCTTGACACCTCCCAGGGCCAGCAGGTGGGGATCCTGCAGCCCCGGCCCCCTCGCTCTGTCCTGGATGCGCCTCTGCAGGGAGCGAAAGCGGCAGTACTGCGGGTAGCTAAGCACTTTGATGCCATGACAGTTTGGCAGGTCATCTAAAAGGAAAAGACACAAGACAGACATGAAACGCCCTTCTGTGAAAAATAACATTACCATGTGTCCACCCATTACATTTTCATTACATAACTGTTGTCGCTAAAAGAGTTCACAAAAATGATATAATCGCTAAACTAATAACAATGCTCTCAGTCAACCTCATCTTTAACATAGCTTATTGCACATTTAATCTCATTTTGTTGCAAAAGTTGGCAAAAGAAGAGGATGGAGAGAGAGTCTGTGACCAAAAAAACAAAAATGTGGGGAGGGAGGCAATGTGAGCTCGGAAGAGGCACTGGATTTTTTACATGACATCATCATGTGTTTATTATCAATATGATACCAAGATTTCATTTTTAAATATCATGGTTGTCGCCGAAATCAATACCAGTATACTGCGACACCCTTTATTCCAACACCCTAGGTTATGATAACATACTGCGGTACATGTATACACATCACTTCGACTTACTGACTCAAATAATATGAGCAGCTGATCCCAGAGCTCTGAAGGAGAACTGATTTTATTTATTAGTCTATATTTGTTACTGTTACTGTCTGTTAACACATTTGCCATTGAAAGTTAAAGTAAAAGCAAAAGCCAACCCCAGATTCACTCATTTGGCGTTTCGCCTTGCTATATTTGCATTTTTTCGGTGCTGTGTCTTTAGATGCCTGCTGCTTATGCGGTCTGGCACCTGCCCCAACCTCACCTGAGCACTGTGGGGGTAGATGCCCTTAAATGTCCCGAACACAAAAAATTAGATAAAACATAAAAATAAAGGCAGAGAGCAGGGTCATCAGTGATGATTGAGAGGGATTGCTTCTGTATCAGTCTATACTTTTTTTTAACCCTGCATAGTGAATCTTTAAAGCTGTGTTACACTATAAAAATGGTCAGATTTTAATCAAATGTAGGCGCAAAGTAATAACAAGCAGCAAATGCCAACTACACACACACACACACACACTCTCACTTCCTGCTGTAGAAAAGAAAACTCAAAGAGAAAACATCACAGCAAACTCTTCCATGTTGCTGGAAAACATGAAGTGGACTGCTTTGTTGCATTATTGTCATAAGTTGCTATGGACTGTTTTTTAAAAATGTCTCTGCTGATGGGTTTGAGAATGCTACAACAACAGCAGGATGGATTAACACAAAAGATTAGCAACCTTACATTTGACACCATTTCACTTCTTGTTTTCAGTGTTTTAACACAACACTGTAACTTCCTAGTGGCCCTTATTTACCTCAGCAGCAGAAACCAATTTGCTCAACATTCCCTCCATGTAGACCTGTTGTTACAGTCAGCATCAACATCTCCACTGCATTAATTCCAGTATAAAAACACAGTTTTACTTTTTAATAGTAATACTTTCAATGGCCCTTAAGTTACCGTCAATCAAACTTGACACTTACTGCTAAGACATTTGGCAGAGACGATAGACTGTACTAAAGAAGTGGACCTAGCCTCCGGGTCTGAAAACTGAAGCCAATGCAGAGGTGTCTTAAACCTGAACTCTTTCTAACGGCCAGCAGGAGGCGACTCCACTGACTACAAAAAGAAGTCTGACTGTACACAATTCTATGAAGAAATGAGCAGACTTCTCACTTGATTTATTACCTCAATAAACATTTTCCTTCTGAGTGTGTGGCCTCAGTCGGTAGTTTTAGGTTTTCTTCAACACAGCATGATGTTCATTTTGTAAATCCCGGTTCCATTTTGAGTAAAACAGCAGCAAAGCAGGGTATGATTTAGGGCGTGGCTAAATTGTGACTGACTAGTCGCTACCACTGAGATGTCCCGGGGTGATCAGCCAGAACCACCTCTTGTTCATTCACAGCGCAAGCCTCTCATCCAAATATGGTCACTTCTGGCTCCAAAATAAAACAAGATGGCAACAGCCAAAATGCCAAGTTTGAGGCTTCAAACGGGAGATCACAAACCAATGGATAGCTACAGTCTATGGTTGAGAGGCTCAAGGGACATAATCCCGCCCTTTTTAGATAGGCTTTTATTGTGAAACATCTATGGGAAGTGTTAGGTGTCTTTCATGGTAGCCTAACAACATAATAGAATTATTACAATTAATTAAACTGTTGACAATGTTGGAGAACTGGTGCCATATGTGTAGTTTCCATTTAGCCAATCACTCTGGGCTCTCAGGGTGTGTTTGATTGATCACCGTTTCTTACTCTTAGTTTTGTCTTTGACCGGCTCGCTGCTCTTGTCATTGCCGCTGTTGCCGTCGCTGCTCTGGAGGGGTTTGTGAAGGCCGTTGATCCCGCTGGGTGGCAGCTTGCTGCTACTCCAATCTGCCGGCTCTGCACACGCCCATCGCACCAGATCCTCCACCCGCACCACCATCTTCCTGGACACCGCCAGAACCTCATCCTGAAACACACAGAGAGGTTTGTTCCATCATTAGACTTCAATTTATTCAGAGGGTTCTGGATTTGTATTTTGTTGTCGGCCAGCATGTCAAAGTTGCATTAAAGAGAAAATAAATTAACAGAATAAAAAAGAAAAACAAGAAAGTATTTTTTAAAAATGAATATATAAACTGTATCATGTGTTAATAATGTAAGTTAAGGGTAAAGACTGAAAATATTTGGTAGGTTTAGTTAAATTAATTTTATTATGCACATATTTTTTTATATATTATTTTTGCTTTAAATTGAGTCCCCCAATTCAAATACTGTGTCTGTGTGTCCTACTACTCTTACTACTATATATATATATATGTTTAGTATGCAAGGAAAAGATTTGGTATGTCCCATTGCACAGCATGTCAAATGCAGTATGCCAAAAATACCAGGATGTTCTACTGCACCCAGTCGCATTTTGCAGCGTCAAAGCCAGCATGTTTTTCTGGCTAGTCTGGCCCACAATCCTCTCTACAGCGAGAGAGTCGTCACATCAAGTGAGCCGCAAGACACTTGACAGCTCATTAGCAGCTTACAAAAGCCATAATGACTTTATTCAATCGATCAGTCAATCTACAATGTTTGCAGTTATAACATAAAAGTTAAAACTGTTTGTCCTCTGTCTCTGGCGAGCTTGGTGAATGGCATTTTCTTTAATCTCCAAGGTAACATTAACTGATCATGTTAAGATCTGCTGCGTTCCAAATCGCAATTTTCTTCTTACTTTCTCACCTTGTATTTTCCCGCTACAGACTGTGACGGATATATGAGCAACAGGGGTCAAAGTTAAAGGCGTAATCTTATGACAAAGTAGTATGCATTATACGCGGGATTTGGAATTCAGTATGTGTGTTTTTTCGCTCCTCAGTCTATAAACAGGCTAATCTGACAGGAGGACTTGCAAACACTACTCAAGGCTGTAAAAGAGCATCTCTCTGCACAGTTTCAGGTAAAAATGATTTTTAAAAAAATGCCATTTTTAGTGGGTTATTTTATTTACAGTGAATATTCTTCTATCAAATACTATCAAAGGTAAAACTTTGATGTGCAAAGTACAAAGTCTTTTTGTACTGCACCACACATCAAGGTCAAGTTATTTACCTTGATGACAAGTTAAAGGCATGTTAGTCACAAACCACAGTGTGTTCCCTGCAGCAGACACTCAACACAGCTCCAAAATGGCTACTCAGAGATCAGTAAATAGGCTGATGTGTGAAAGTACAAACAGGAACTCAGTAGTGAAACTAAACTCAAAACCACAGAGATGCTACAAAAGTAGAGAGAAATAAAAACAGACAGACTTTTAAAAGACAGCTTTCTCTCAAGGAAACTACATATGATTTAAAAATACAGAGGTTCACATAGAATTTCCATTTTTATTTATGTATTTATTGATTTATCTATGACATTTATTACTACTGAGGGATAACTGCACACAGTGCTTCAGTTGAAACAAAATTTCCCTCCATTTTTCTTTTCTTCAACCAACATTCCTCCTCGCCTCCCACCCATACCTTTCTGCCCCTACCTCGAAAGTCCCTAAAAAATACAGGTTCATCACACAATGACAAAAAGAACAAAAAGAAAACAATAAAAACAAAATGGATAAATAAGTAAAAGACAGGATAAAATTGGAGAAGGTCTTGTAAATAATAGTGCATGAGAGTGAATAGTAATATTGTATAATTACATAATATTCCTCTCCGGTATAAGAGGGAGTGTTTGAAGGCTGTTAAAATAAGCTATCAAGCCCCTGAGAGCACATTTTATCTTCAAGTTTAAGAAAAACTATCAGGTCCTTAAGCCAGACAGAAGATGATGGGGGATTAGGGGACTTCCATTCTAGCAAAATTCTGCAGTGAGCTAATAGAGATGCATTTGCCACTAAATCAGCCTGTCCTGCAGTCAGAGTACTGAGGTCCTCTAAAACCCCAAACAGTGCTGTGAGGGTTCAGTGCTGCAAATTCCATTTGTAAAATTTATGACAAGGATCCAAAAACAGAAGCCCAGCAGCTTTTGTTTTGGGACAACACCAGAACATATGAGCAAGGTCTGCAGGTGTGTTGTTACAGCGGTCACATCTATTGTCAACACTCGGGCAGATCTCTGCAAGTCTTGTCTTTCTAAAGTGGAGGACCTTGAATTGTATAAGCCCGAGGCAAGCACAGGATGACGACGAATATATCTTCTTAATGGCTGCATCCCAGAAATCCTCTGCAAGTTCTGATCCCAATTCAGCTTCCCAAGATAGTTTTGTTTAAAAAAAGAGTATGTGTGTCCATGTCATGAGATGTTTGCGTGTTTGTGAAATAATGCCCTTTTAGTTTGGCAGGATCGCCAGACATTTGTCCCAGGGTAATTTAGGGGGTGCATGTGGAAAAGATGTTGATTGAGCTTGAACAAAGTGTCTAACTTGAAAAAAATTAGAAAAGGTCACGTCCAGATAGAAAGTGTTTGTCTTTAGCTTCTGAAAGCTAATAAAATCAAGGGGTTCATAGAAGTCTCTTTCTTTCCCATATAAGGAAAGCACAGTCTGTTACAGAGGGAAGGAACAAATGATAATTTGATAGTCCAGATGTGGTTTTGAAAATAAAGTGCTGCCAAAACTGAGAGCAAATTAAAGGGTAGGGAGTACTATTGGGTTGGACGTGTGCTGAGATAGGGGTAGAGGTAGATATGAACGTATTCAAGCGGGATGTGATGCTGATCACCAAGACTTGGCCTCCAACAGACACTAATTAGTCTGGGGCACATACATCCAAAATGTCATTCTCTGTGTATTAGCTGCCCAATGGTAATACAAAAACATTAGGCAGGGCCAGCCCACCTTGAGACTGATCCCTCTGGAGAACTGCTCTGCCAATCCTAGGGACCGTACTGCCACGTATAAAGCCTTTATCAAAAGGCCGAAAATATTATTTGGGTATGAAGAGGGGAAGACACTCAAAGAAATTTAGGCATATTTATTTTATTTATGGTGACAATGATAGCAAGGAGAGATAGTAAAGTTTTGACTCATTTCTAAAGTGTATCTTAAATTAATATTTTGATATTCATCAGTGTGTCTGTGGGAAAATGGTTTGTAACGCTGCACGGAGGAAACTTATTGCTATCACAAATCTCTTCTCACGAGAGTAAGACAAGAAAATTTAGTTTTGGCTTGTAAGCAAATAAAAGAAAAAGACAATCCACACACACGTGAAGTGGTTAGACGTGGGGCAGAAGCATTTTACAGTTACATTTGAAGTTAAATGAAACTTCTGAACACTGTGTGCGGTTTTTAATTTTTGTTTTTATCATTGTTGTTCTACAAAACACTTTAAAAAAAAAAGCACCACTTTGCTCTAGTCATGCTCCACCTGCTCAGCTATCACTTCACCTTTACATGCTTATGAATGAGCGTGAACAAACAGAGCTGAACATGTGCCAACTCTCTAGAAAGAATAAAATAAAAAGTCTTCATTGGTTTGCTGGTGAAGTGTCGACATCTACGTGAGAACACAAAAAGAGCCTGGAGACTGGAAGAGATAAGGCTGAACCTGCTCAAATAAAGCATTACTATAAAAAGTAAATAGCTGTGTGGTTGAGAACCAATAGAAAAGGAGCTTGAAATAAAACTTGGAGTCACTTTTGCTACCCTTTTTAAATAAAGAGCTTTGATTGTCAAGATTTTTCACAGCTGACTGCACAAAAAACTTCTCAGATGGTGAATTTAGTCTTTGATAGTTCATTAAAACCCCAGTAAGTATTTGCCTTCCAGTGATGATTACATAATTTTCACAATTTAACTGTCCACCTGACTAAAAATCCACCTGACGAGTTGATGCTCTGCTTTTAAAATGTCATTTGTCTTCATTTATTTCGTATTTCTCATACAATCCATCTGTTATTATAATTAACATGCATAGAGTAAATATTAATTTTAGATTAGACTAGCCAGCAGTATGAGCGATGTAAAAATTATCTTCACGTCAATCCAATTAAAACATTTAAGTACTGCTTATACAATACATCAGTAGCAATGATCTAATAATATTACACTGACAGGGGCCATTTTGAGCGCTTTCACTTTTAATACTTAAAGTACATTTTGTTATAATATCTCTATATGCAGGGAACATTTTGGAAATGTGTAACTTTTACTTGTAATGGAGTATCTTTATAGTGTTGCAGTGCTACTTTTACTTCAGTTAATTATTTGAATACTTCTTCCATGACTGCATGTGATGCAACATTTAAAAACAAAACAGAAATCCATGATGGACTCATTATTATTTCAAACAGCTGTAAATAATTTGCAGTTGTAATGCAGGTTTTCTCTCCTGCTGGGTCCGCCTTTCCTCCTTGCCATTTGCATTCAGTCTTTTTTTTTTTTTGTTTAATATGTAATCTGAGCTCAAGCATAAACCAAAACAAGACAATGTGGGATATTTACTAAGGATTAAGGATCTAAACAGTCAACCGGCATGTGTCCTTATTTGCTAAAGAGCCACACCAAAGTTAAACTGCACTACAACAAATTTAAAGTGGCTTAGTTAGTATTTTAAGACATTTCAAAACACAAAAGCAGAAATTAAACATCAGTGTCACCATTCTGTTTGCCTCTATAACCTCCTGCTTTCACATTTTCTTCACTTAATGGACCATAGCAGCTTCAATCAATCAATTTTGGTGTATTTGTGCTTCACTTGGGCATTTTTATTTTCTGCAACTCTATACTTCTTATCCACTACAACTGGGGGAAATGCTGTATTTTTTACTCCACTCCATTTATTTGATAACTTTAGTTCCCTTGCAGATTCAAAACAATAATACAAAGTATAACCAACAACTAAATTATGATGTACACAGTTCAAAGTTATTCATTGTCAAATGAACAACAAATGCAAGACCAATGCGATCTAAATATGTATATAAAAATAAAAAATAATGATGAACACAAGTTGAAATAAAACGAGAATCTAGGTGTAAGGATTTAAGGATGTAAAGTACAGAAAGTTAAAATGAAAAATAAAACATAACGAACATTACATATGAAACAAAGTGATATAAATCAGTAGTTGTATGAATACACAAAATGTAGCAAGGATGAAATATAGTAAAATGTATATGCATAACAAGAATGTAAATAAAATAAATATGTATAGGCAGAGGTGCAAACAGTTAGGCTTAAAGAAAGGTAAAGTGTATTATTAAAGATTAAGATAAAACTACTGATCCCAGGGGGCAAATGCACAAGCTAGTCGGCAGATAAAGTGTACAAAGTAATAAAAAAATTAGCCCCACTTTTACCATATTCAACATTAAAGTGACATTAATGAGTCAATAACAGGCGTCATAAACATTACTCTGAAATGAGACATTCTGTATAATAATATACTTTTAATTTTGATACTAATACTTATGTACTTAACTCGTATTATTTTTGAATGAATGACTTTCACTTGTGACAGAGTATTTCTAATACTTCTCCACCACTGCAGGGTTAGGGTGTTTATGGCAAGAACCTGGTCTAAGATGTTCAAATGTTTACCAGTCATTCAAAGTCTGATCTTTTTTGTTGAGCTAAACAAGGTTAGTCTATATAATTAACATTTCCTCAAAGTCTTTTTCATAATGAATGAGTTCTAAATTTGTCTTTAAAACAGCTCTGTATCAGATCTTATGTACTGGCACTTTACACAAACCAAATTAACTGCAGCTCATTAACGTATGTGGTCTAACGTGGAGCTGGAGCTGCTCTAATGTCTCCTCCCATTCCAGTTTGTCGGCTGTGATCCTGTTCAGTCCTCGAGGCAGACAGCAGAGCCCAACCCCCCAAAAAACGTACACCTCCTTTGGGCCGCAGCCAGGTGGGAGCTCCTCACATTCCTGCTCCTAGCAGCCAGGTGTGAGCTCATTAACACCGCAAAAGGCCGAGGAGTTTTTACACTAAATGGCTCTGCAGGAGTCATGAATAAACATTTTTTTAAGCTCAAATTTTTTTACTCTAAAATTCCCAGACTGTCACTTTCACTATTACCCTCTTAAACTCTTGATTTTGCAAACCCCTTTTAGACATGTGCCTCATTGCGTAAATATTATTCACAAGACTTTAGGCATGAAACCAACCTGTAAAACTGGCATAAAATAACTTTCATGCAAAAGTCACGATGGTAACCGCATTGAAGACCTTTTCATACACAGGGTAAGTAACGCTACTGGCTTCATCTATCTGTTAAAGTGACGGTGTTTTGTTGTTGAGACAGAGGTGTATTTTATAACCATGTTCCTTTCAGCAATTTCCCTCAGGATAAATAAAAAATAAATAAATAAATGGAGTTGTATGTTCCCTTATGGCTTCATTCAGACATGTCAGCACATTTGCAAAACGAAACAATGCTTGGTCGATATTCGGTATCTGGTGCGTAAAAGGGAGGTATTAAGTATTTTCAGCTCTCTCACAGGCTGCATTGGTACTTTACTTTGAAACTTTTTTCATCCTCGAATATCATGATACGAGACTCAACATACTTACTTGACTTACTTGTTGTAGTTATAGTTACCTTATGACTTAAGAATTTGGATGTAGTAATATCATATCTTTTCCTGGATATAAAGGCTGCATTACAATAAAGTGATGTCATTTTCTGAACTACACTGTTCTAGCTGTTACTTGCCTTTACCCACTTAGTCATTATATCCACATTACTCATGATTACTTTACTAAAATCTCGAAACACCAACAGTTAACCCGACAATATCTTTGCACTATTGACAGATATTGCGATATTTGATTGTCTCCATATCGCTCAGCCCTACTTAAAGCCTCCATTAATGACTGTCGTGAGGGATGATCATTTCTTTGAGCATAAGAGATATCATTAATTGAAGCACTCGTAATAAGGCAAACAAGAAGTGTGTTTAATGTCTGTCTGTGTATCTAATGTGCTGTGGTCGCCTTTACATTAATCTGACATCTTACAGTTCAGACTTGAGTCGTTCTGAAGTGTTACAGAAACGTTACAGGTCTGATCTGGTGAGATCACGGTTGTGACTTTTGTGTCAAAGTGCTTATTCAGAAGCCAGTTAGCTTAGCTTAGCATGAAAACTGAAACAAGGGGAAACAGCTCACCTGGCTATCCTCCTACCAACACTTCTAAAAGGTCATAAATTAACACGTGATTTCTTGTTTGTTGAATTCATACAAAAGTCAAAGTAAATCTGAAAAGTTTTCAGACGCACATTATGTTAAAGATGATAGGTTGTGTTTCTCTTGTAATTGACAGTTTATGAATACACGCCTGTTTTAAGTATGTTAAAACTATTTGATCCTAAAGATAAAGAGGGCGGCTTTCAGACAACACCCACGAACACAAATCAGACAACTTTTATTTTTAGAAATAAATTCTTCTGTGAAAGACACTGGAAAATGATTCCTGTAAAAATAACTTCCAGAAGGCTCATTTTTCCACAAGGAAAATTTAAACCTCCTTATAGAGACTTCAACAGTGGAATATTGCAGTTCAAAATGTGGAAAACTTGGTTTCAGACAAGTCATTATCAAGGATTTACATTTGGGTAATACATTAGTCTCGATCCCAAAGGGGATTTTTCATGTGAGGGCTGAGCTGCAGCCTGCATGTGAACTGTGTTAATCAAAAACACTCAGCAGCAACAGACACATACACATCTGATACTTCTTACTCTAGTCATGTGAAATCACTGTTTATTTTTCTTGTCTTCAAAGTAATTGAACAGATTTTAAATTAAGCAGATCATTAAATAACATCAGGCCACAGAGAGCTAATATAAAGACATTAATGAGACATGTTAGCATGAGGAAATGATCAGGTTGAGACACTTTCTGATCAACAAATTGGGACTTTGACTGAGCCTGTAAAGGTTCTGGGCCAAAGATGTTTGGATAAAAAAAGGAGGCGGTGTTGCTGTGACGAGGTTATTAATAGATGTTTTTAAAGCATTCCCCAGATTAGATCTCGGAGACGTTCTCTCCCATTACGAGTGCACAGGAATTACAGACAGCACTGTTATATTTCATGCTTCAAGTTGTATGTAGTGCAAAATACGTATAATGTCGGCAGTATCCTAATTCTTAACATTATTTATATATCCTATTCATGTTTTTAGTGGTGGGAAATACTGCGTATGTTCACTCAAGTAAAACTTTGAATATGTCCATATCACACTCCTCTACAATCCAGAGGCAAATATTGCACTTTTTACTCCTCTACATTTTTTGATAACTTTGCAGAACCTGATTAATAATGCAAAATAGAATCAACAAATTGATGATGTAGTTTTATGAGTTTAGATAAGATAAGATGGCTTCAATCCCCAGAGGGAAATTTACAAGCTAAACAGAGAAATTTTTGTTATTGAGCCCACCCTCATTGATATAAACAAACAAAACACAAACTACATCCTCCAAAATGTTTCTATAAACAAAAATTATAACTTCTATGAAAGAAAGATTTATTGCAGCACTACTGTATTAGACTGCAGTGATTTTGGCTAGGTATACCTAATAAACTGGCAGTATATGTGTTTATAATTATCAGTAACTACATCTGCTTTATTATGTCTTCTGTAAGTTATACCCTGTGGTGGATTTGGCCTTATATAGAAGTTTGGATTTTTTGGTGTAGTTGAGTAAAAATGTCATCTTTAATTTATATTAAACAAAAATAAATTAAATCAAGAGTTTAGGAAATAAAACATAAACACTGTACTACAGATGTATTGATGTGAATGAGTGGAAGAATAAACAAGTTAATATTAGTTGATATTTCAAAACTGAAATATCATCACATGTAAAGATGAACGCCTCATTGGTAATTCATGTCTGGAAGATGAGCCAGACACCCCTTGAACTTTGACTCACCTCTCCGTGCTCGCTGGTCCGGCCCTTTGGTGTGTCCTCAGGCAGGAAGTAGAGTCTGGCGCTGGCCAGCAGGTGGCGCCGTGTCTGGTCCTCCCACAGTAAGGTCACCTGCACATGAAGAGGAAGAGAGCAACACCATTTAAACACAGATGTCTGGAAAGCTTTGGAAAGTGACGAACATGCCGGGAGTCTTTCAAACAGCCTTTTATGTGAATCTAAATTTATTTAAGTTCAGGAGTACTTTCAACATCCTGTAACCTTCAGACTAGTAAAACACATCTGATTTAGTTAAACAAAATGCATTTATCTTACTTTGAGATGTATATATAAAAGACAAAGTTGTTTTCCCCTGGAAAACCTAAGAGAAACAGCTTTATCTAAATATATTTTGCATTTTTCTTTAATTAACAATTACATGACTATCAAAATTGTTCATTTAGTTTGTTTAAACTAATTTAAAACTTTTAAACAGCCATTAACTTGACATAATTTGTGCACACTTAATCTCTGCCAAAATAAGATAAGTCCTTAAATTAAAAAAAAATAATAATAAAATAAAAATTTGAAGTAAAGCTGCCTCTTTACTGATGCATGTTTTGTGGGAAAAACCTGCTGCCCTAAATGTTTTTTTTTCTTAAACTCTCAAACTTGCACAATCATAATTCATATAAGAAACCATAACTGAGGGTCTGACCAGACATTCACTGTCCCATAACTTTGGGTACTTAACGATTTGTGTACATTTAGTACTATTTCAGTCAGTACTACAAAAGTATCAAGGTTCAATCCCCAACCCTGATCACTGTTTGTTTCCACTGCAGCATTTAAATGAAGCCACACCACTGCTGGACTTCAACTTAACAGTATTCACAGATGTTCAAGGCAGACAAAGTCCACATATATCTGCAGGCATTGTATTATGGTTATATCATATCACTGTATCATATATCTGTAACCTTGAACAAGATGTCAGATACCATGCTGGCAGGGTCAGGGAGGCAGGTATGCACTATTGGACATCCTCTGATTTATGAATTAAAGATAAAACCAGATTAAGAGTCTACGGCCATGTTAGCTGCTCAGTGAGGGTGAGCTAAAAGCTAACATCGGCATGCTAACATGCTCACAGTGAATGTTAACATGCTGATGTTTAGCAGGTATAATGTTTTACCATGATCATTATCTTAACTCGGTGTATTAGCATGCTAAATATTGCTAAAGCTGACAAAGTTCAGCAGAGGCTAATCGTAGTGTTGTTTTTGGCGGCCTGTTTTAATTTTAGTTTTAGTCTAGTCTTTGTGTCAAACTGTCATTTTAGTTTTTATTAGTTTTAGTCACGTTCATACTCTTTTTTGTCTAGTCAAGTTTCAGTCAACTAAATGTCTGAGCATTTTAGTCTTATTTTAGTCAGAATAATCCATGACTATTTTCGTCTCGTTTTAGTCGACGAAAACTGATGACATTTTAGTCTAGTTTTAGTCAATGAAAATTGTATTTTAGTCTCTTTTTAGTAATGCAATTCGATTATATCAATCAACCTTTTTATTTAGACTCCAGGTCCAGTCAATATAGTATAAGTACCTAGTATAGTATAACCAAACCAAAATTTTCTTTTCTAAATTAGCTCCCAGTTAGAGCTAAATATATATTTATTTATACAACAGTTAGTTCCGACCAAGTAATTTGATTGGATGAGAGGCGTTCCGTGAGTGCTGATACAGAGTATAACATCACTGGGACTTGTAACAGTAAAATCACTCCGCTTACAGGTGTTATAAATATAAATACAGCCGTTAATTAACCAGCTGTCACACTCGCTACATTGACACAAACTGACACTATAGCGTTACACCAAGAAGATGGATATTTTCCCCAAAATTACATTTGAATTAAATTATGAGTGTTCGTCAGGAGAGGACGAGGAAAAGGAAAGCCAGGACTCTTCTGTGCAGACCTCCAGGTGTGTTTGTGTAACATCAGCCGACCTCAACAAACTGGAGAGGAGCAAGAATTAAGCAAACACGGTCAAGAATTATCAATGATCATCTGATGAGGTACTGATGAGGATGAGGGAGAGTGGAAGCTGAATCCGGCCGTGCCAACATCCAGGTTTGCCAACGTCTCATCAGCCAAACTGGACGAAGTTACACAGCTTCAGATCAATGTAAATACAAAGTAGCTTGTGAGTTCCTGGTGTGTGTGCCGCGTTGCCTAGCAACAGACTGGGGGAACTGTTTTTTTTTTTCGCTGAGCTACATAACATACTTAAATAATTTATGTCATCACCTTTTGTTAACATTTCCCTACTCAGCATTGCTGTTTAAGCTGTTGTTGACCTGTTGTATAAAAGCAATATCACACGAGAGGGAGTGACTGTTGTACTGTATATCATCACGGCTATAATCCGTCCTTGCAGTGCGACGCACAGCCTAAGAAACAGAAATACTGCAAAATAATAATAATAACGCGACTAAACATTATAACGTTATTTCGTCTCGTCTCGTTTTGGTCAATGAAAATGAAGAGACATTTTAGCAGAGGTTTTATTATGTAAACCACATTTAGTCTCATTTTTATTCGTCAACAACATTGCATTATATATTTAATTATAGTTATCGTCACATGACCACCATTTACGTTGCGTCTCGTCTTTGTCATGTGATAAAGGTTCGTTGATGACGATATTTAGTCATACTTTTCGTTAACGAAAGCAACAATAGCTAATCGGAATGTCTTAAGTTATGCAGTCATATAAATATATACATATATATATACACACACACACACACACACACACACATATATATATATACATACACATACACACATACATACATACATAGATATATATACACATATAGAAGAGTAGGGACGTTAGCATTAGCACTAGTCGGCTGCC